TAGTGAGTCTGTATAGGATTTCAAGGAGCTGGTGAGCTTGAACTGCAGATATTGCAGTTCAAACAAACTTTGCAGTCCAGCGCATTAAGCCACAGCGCCACACCAGGACTCTGTCGAAGGCTGAGGAAACTGAGCTAGATGTCTAGGGATAGGGCTAGGTGACATCCTTAACACTCCCTCCTCTCTGACAGGACACACAGGGTCAGGCTCCACAAGCGGGTCACCATCTAGTCATCTCTATTTGCTTCCTCCCTTCCACAGAAGCTCCAAGGGGCAGAGAATTTAGCAACGAGGAGACTTTCAACTCGGTGCTTGTGGATATTTTAATTCTTGTATCCTTCTGGCTTTGGTCCCTTTGTTCATTGCTTACAGCTCTTCTCCCAGGCATGTAGTTACTGTGACTTCTTTCTGAGTTCTTCACAAGATGGTAAAGTCACCTCATTTCTTTTATTACTCACCTGGTAAATTCTCAACTTCAAATGATAGGTTCTTTTAGTATTTCTACCTTCTTTGAGTCCTGGTTGTGGCACTATGGGTTAATATCAGCATATTAACTGCAAAGTTGGTTTGAAGTTCAAGCTCACCAGCCACTCCTCAGAAACCCTATACAGGATTGCTGTAAGTCAGAACCGACTTGATGGCACTAACAGCAACAACAAACCTTCTAGACTTTAACATAGCATTTGTTTTTGATCAAATAAACACAGAGTTTTGCTTTTGTTTGGCACCATGAGGCCTGGCCCTCACTAGACAGCAAAATGCAAGCTTTTCTTGTGACCTTTCCCCATTTCTCTTGTATATTCTGAATCTCCTCATCTCGGCTGTGTTCATTGCCCCTCTTCCAAGCCTGGTGCAGACAGGCCGATATCCACAGGGTAACTGCTGAACAATGGATTCAGAATTCTCTTCCTTTCTCCTGGACATGTCTTTATATATTTGATCTTTAAATTTGTGTGTGTGTGTGGGGGGGGGGATGTTAAATTACATATAACAGAAGAGGTAGGAGTGGAGCATGTCCCTTGGTCCTTAAGATCCCTGTTCACTGACCCTCCATCCAGGAAAGAAAGCTATGACACCAGAGAAGTGGTGAAGTGACAGCAGAGAAGAGACAGCAGTAGTCCCAAAACATGAGACAGAGTGGCTGCTGGGCCCACGAAGCAGGAAAGCTGAACACAAAAGCAAGGGGGCTAGCTTGTGGAGTGGGCTGCCTCCAGGCACCGAATCAAGAAGCTGGGTTTGCTGACCCACAGAACTGGGCTCAGGGTTATGGTGGTGTGGAGTTCCCTTTGGGCAATTTTTGGCAGTGCTAAGTGAACTTTGAAACTTTGCCCAAGCAGGCCAGAGGCCAAGGGGCCTTGTGGCAGAGAGGCCTAGGACCAGATAGTAGCATGCCTGTGGGCACAGTTAGAAGAGGTTGTCCTGGCTACAGAAGAGCTGGATCCTGAGCATTCTGATCCAGAACTGTAACCTGTAAACTTTCCGAATAAGCCCCATAGTCATGAGTACGGTCTGTGAGTTCTGTGTGGCAATTGCAAATAATATCAAACCCACGGAGCACTAGAGAGTGATGTGGGAGGGACAGTTGGTATCAGAATTGGTCAAGGAGGTTTTGAGGGTGGAGGCATGTCTGACCTCCACCTCCTAGGAATCGGCCTTGGACTGATGTTGAACTTGATTCTCCTCACCCTTGGTGAAGTCACAGGTCAGGCACTGTCCCCACATTTCTACAACCACATTTGTCTCTCCATTCACCTACTGATGGAGACTTGGGTTGGTTATTTCTACCTTTTGACTATTGTGAATAAAATGGTAATGAACATTGGTGCTCAAATATCTATTTGAGTCCCTAATTTACATTTTTTGGGTACATACCTAGGAGTGTATGGAACTCTGGTAGCACAGTGGTTACGAATTGGGCTGCGAACCTCAAGGTCAGCAGTTCGAGACTACCAGCTATTCCATGGGATTTATAGCCTTGGAAACCATGTACAGGGTCTCTATGAGTCAGAACCGACTCCACGGCACATACCTACCACCTAGGAGTCTAATAGCTGGCTCATTGGCTAATTTCCTGCTTAATATTTTAAGAACGGCCATCTGTAGCCTTCTTTCTTGGTTGTTCTGCAGATCTAAGCATGTCCGTGACTTTTCTGTGAAGGCTTTATTTTAACTTTTTCTTACCCTACTTTCCCACTGAGTTAGTTGTGAGTGATTTTGCATGTGTGTTTCCCAGCTAATCTATGAACTTCATAAAAAGGAGAGATGTGTCTTAATCAACTTAGCATTTCTGTGCTTACCATAGATCTGGGCATATTATTTGCACAAATTCTGTAATTACATTTAAAATGTAAACAAACCCCTCAAGAGACAGTGATTCTGCTATAGTGAGAAGAAGCATCATTGAAGTTACCAGGGAACCAAGGCAAACAGACATTTAGGAAACTGAGAAGATGGGGCTGAGGACCCTTGATTTGAAGGTTCTGCATTTCATTAAGCAACTTATCCTCTTGCCATTTAGTAGTGTTATGGGTAAGATTGGGTCTCCTGAAAATTTAGGTTGAAATCTTGTACCCTGGTGCCTGTGAGCTAGGCCTGGTTTGGAAATAGAGTCTTTGACCATGTTTTTAGTTCATATGAAGTCACACCATCGTAAGGTGGACCCTGACCCAATCTGAATGGTGTTCTTATAAAAGTGAGAGACAGAGAGAACATGCCAGCCAACACCCAGAATTCGGACAACAAGCCTGCAGAACCAACAAATTTCTGCTATTATAAGTCACCCAACTGTGGTATCTTGTTATGGCAGCCCTAGGACGCTAATGCAAATAGTAAAATATGTTGCAACAGGAAAAGGAAGATTATCAAAAATATTATCAGTATTCCTAAGTAAATCATTAGCTTTTAACTGAGGTAAAAAGAAAAAAATCTCAATGTGTTTTTAACTGTGATCTTTCAGCATTAGGACAGGGTGATTGTTCTGCCCTCCTGACCCTCAACCCCACCTCCCTAGCTTCTTCAAGCAGCCAAGATGCAGAGGGGACCTATTCTCTACCGGACATCAGGTTTCTCAGGTAAAGGCACAACCTGTAAGGGTCTTCTGAAAATGATGCTAGAACTCCAACAATGTTGGCATCCTTGAGATTCAACCCTCCAGGTGTGGCTTTGAGGATGATGCAATTCATTTTATTTCCAGAGCTGGTGCCTGTGTAGTTCTTAGGGCTCTACTCACAATTTCTTCCTTTACCTTTCCATTCATTTAAACAAGCATTTACTATTTGTAAAATATTTATGTAATATCTTATGAGGGACAAGAAACCATAAGACACTTGGGAGGTTTAAGGGTGAAAAAGCTCTAGATTACACCTCAACATAAAGTAAACAAAAATCTTCACAACTGATCCAATAAGAGAGAAAAGATTGAAGCTATAGGATATCATTTTACTTGGATCCACAGTCAATGCCCATGGAAGCAGCAGTTAGGAAATCAAACAGCATATTGCATTGGGCAAATCTGCTGCAAAACATCTCCTTACAGTGTTAAAAAGCAAAATGTCACTTTAAAGACTAAATTGTTCCTAACCAACCTCATGGTATATTCAGTTGCTTCATATGCCCAGGAAAGTCAGACAATCAATAAGGAAGACCAGAGAAGAACTGATGCTTTTGAACTATGGTTTTGGGGAAGTCTATTAAATTTACTATGTACTGCCAGAAAAACAAACAAATTTGTGTTGGAAGAAGTACAGTTAAAATGTTCCTTAGAAGAGGGGATGAGAAGACTTTGTCTCTCATACTTCAGACATGTTATCAGGAGAGACTAGTTCCTAGGGAAGGACATGACGCTTGGTAAAGTAGAAGAAAAAAGAGGAAGAGCCTCAAGGATATGGACTGACCACATGGCGACAACAGTGGGCTCAAACATAGGAACGATTGTGGGGATGGCACAGGACCAGGCGGAACAGCAACATAGGATTGCTATCAGTTGTAATGCACTACACAGCAATGGGTTTGGGTTTGGTCTCAGGAAAAATCACCACAGTTAAGTTATAGTAGAAAGCTTGAGATAATGATTCAAATCATGCATTATAGATAAAATTGAATTCAATAAACATATCCAACAGTTACTTTCAGAGAGCTCTTCTATATGCTGAGGTTAGAGGCAGGACAACTGCAGACCTCAAAGAACTAAATTTCTAGGAGGAAAAAATCCTCCCAGCAAGCCCTCGACACCAAGCAGAATAATTCCACCGGCTTTCCCTCATAACCAACCTGCCCTTGCAACTCGAAGACCTGTAAGAACTAATCTAATGAAGTGGTGACATCTGACTCAGGGATGTGTCCCTAAACCTGTCAGAGCCATTTCTCAAGGCAGAGGGTGACCCTCCCAGCTGGAGTTCTTGAGTCACATCAGAAAGTTCATCTATTAGAGGGGCTCCACACCATTCCAGGAGACACAGCACTGGTGGGTGGGGATGCTTTGGAGCTAAATAGAGAGGGCTGGAAGACCCCTCATGAAGGAAGCTTGGGAATTTCTGTTAGGAGAGTGTGGGAGCGCATGGATAGAGTTGGCTGTGGTGTGTCTGGATGGACAGGGTGGGGTGTGTCTGAATACAGAGGACTAAGCAAGCCTGGAGAGAGGAGGCTGGGAACTACTGGAGTTTGAGCAAGAGTCCTGGTATGGCACTGCAGAATAATGCGCTGGACCGATCGGTTTGAATCTCAAGGTCGGCGGTTCAAACTCACCAGCGGCTCCTCGGAAACCCTATACGGGTTCACTGTGATTCAGACAGACTCGATGATACTTAGCAACAACAACAAAAACCTCCAGTTGTAGAGTTCGGAATGCTTCTTTTCAATGGAGAGACCTGTAGCACTGCTGACTGAAGAGGGCTGGAAGAAACCTGGATGGAGGGACCTGCAGTCCTTGGCGCAGGGCCCTGTACCTCTTGGCTACAGCAGATGATCTGCCTGCGTGCCCCACCCTCGGCCCAGCCACCCACCTGGGCACGCCCTGGAGTAATCGAAGCAGCAGTCTCCGGTGAGGCGGCAGGCTTGGTCGCAGAAGCACGTCCCGTAGACCCTGTCCAGCCTCCAGCCTTGGGCGGAACAGGAGGGGTCCCTGCCTGGGCAGCAGAGCCTTGCTTCGGTGCAGCCGGCTAGGGCCTCTGGCCACAACCACGCCAGAACGCACAGTGCCAGCCACACGGTCTTCATGGTGAGCGCTCCCTCGGTGCCTGCGACGTGATGGCCCCTGGGTGGGGGGAGTGCTGTGCTCTTCCAGAGCTGGCGGCCCCGAGCTGCCCAAGAGGTCGGCGAAGCGCAGCCCGGCCCTAGCCCGCACCCAGGCCGCCGCCCTCCCGGTCCGGCCCCTCCCCAGGCCTGGCGGCGCGCCCTCAGGGCGTCAGAAGGGTAGGTGCTGCTGTATTTGTCGAGATGGGGAGGGTGCCTCTCTCTGGACGCCGCCTTCCCAGGATGTTCCCTATACTCTTCAACCCTCCAGGCCCATCTCTTCTCTGTTGCTAGCCCTCCCGCGCTGCGCTGGCTGCTTCCCTACTGAAACCCCCAACACCCCCACCGTGCGGGAACCGCCCAGAAAACAGAAAGAGCAGGTGCACCCAGGTCCCGGCCAGGGCGCCGCATTTCCTGACGTCTAAGGGCAGGTTTTTTGTTGTTGTTTTGTATTGTTTCATGGTTGGGGACAAGTTGTTGTTATGTGCCTTTGAGTCAGTTCTGACTCATAGTGACCCTGTATATGGTTTTCAAGGAGCAGCTGGTGGGTTTGAACTGCAAACCTTGCAGTCCAATTCGACCTTTCGGTCCAGTGTATTGTCCCACAGCGCCACACCAGCAAGAGGATATTTTCGCTATAAAGTCATGAAATGTATAGTCCTTGATGTGCCTCAAAAAACGGTTACAACCAGCATGATGCGTGCGGGTCACCCCAGCTCTGCCCAGAAGAACCCACACAATCATACCAACCATCAGAGTCCTCAAGAACCACAGAAGTTTCAGAGCAGGATGAAGATAAGAACAAAGAGGGATTCTTTTTATCTGCTGCATTTTATAATGAGATTTTCATGCTCCAGGGAAATGCCTCTTTGTTTCACTAAATAGGTGATCCATGGATGCAAAGGAAAGAATCAAAAAAATAAAAATGTTGTTCTGTACTTTCTGTTAAAACTAATTTCCCCAAAGAGGGCCGGTTTGATGATATTTAGAAATAACGTCAACTTTAATAAAGTGCACGCCTAAGTTTTCATGTACATTTTCTTCCCCTTTTCTTTCCAAATATATTTTCTGCACCTCACTTTTGTTAATCAGAAACTATCCTGGTAATTTCATCTTATGCTCTTAAATCATTTGAACTTTTCTGAGTTTTGTGAGAAACTAAAAGTAGAAAGTTTTCTGCATGTGAATCTTAGATGATAAATGAATTTCAGATACTAATTTTTGCTTGCTCATTTCTCATACAAGGACTTCAAATAAAGAAAAATAACAAAGTTGTAAAACAAAACAAAAAATAAAATACCAAAATAAAATATTAAAACGTCATGAAAAATTTTAACACATTCTAAGACTTATAAACTCTAATCAGAGATAAAGTTTGACCAATATAGAGTGAAATCTTATTTCATTACATAATAAAAATCACTCCAAAATAAATTTAAAAAATTCTTTCACTGTGAGTGTACACAAATTCTTCAGGGTTAATTTTTTTCTCTCTTCTACTTTTGCAGTTAAAATAAATATGCACTTTTTGAAAAGTTGTTGGTAGTTGAAATGAAATAATTTTTACTAGTAAATTACACTCTCTTCCTTTTACTCCTGTTGCAGACTTTATTCATGTCTTTGTACTAACTCATCCATGTAATTTACCCTCCACACCTTCTCTAAATTGTCTTCTTTATGCCTTTGGGTAGATACTATTCTGTAACTCCATAGGAATTTGGAATCATTCCAGAAAGATATAAAGGAAAATGATCCACTGTCAAGTTTATTTGAGGAATGAAACATGAAGTGTTACAGAAAAATGAAAGAAGATGAGCTTTGGGATTAAGAGAATTAGAAATATAATGTATATTGTTTTACTCTAAATGCTTGTTGGAACACTGTTCTTTTCACTCCCCATTTCCTTGTATTAAGATAAAACCAAAACCCAGTAAAATAAAAAGACCCCCAAAAACCTGGGGTCTATGCTCAGCTCCTTGGAAACCCTATACAGGGTCGCTATGGGTCAGACCCGACATGACAGCACTTAACAACAACATACTCGGCATGCTTGGGCGTTTGGAATTAAATTTAGTTCCAGTTCTGCCTCTGATCTCTGTAGAATTACCTACTCTCTCAAATCAGGCCGCATCTGAAAATGTAGTCATTTAAGATTGCTATGCGATGTCTGCAGAAATGAGATGATGTGTATGAACTGAATACAAAGTGGGTGTTAACTATATGATAATATCCTAACGTCCACACTGTAGTCCTAGTATGGTGCTGTAGGGTAAGCACTGGACTGTTAACCCACCAGCCAGTTCTCAGAAACTCTACACACAGTCACTATGACTCAGAACCAATGTGATGGCACTTACCAACAACAGCAATGTCCGCCCAATTCACAGGACGATAAGCCTAAATCCAAGGGGGGGGGGGAGGGGGATACGAACAAACCACACTGTTTTAAATAGTGTGGCATGCACACAGTTAAGTGCTCAGCTACTAACCAAAAGGGTGGAAGTTCAAACCCAGCCAGAGGTACCTTGAAAGGCGGCCTGGGCAATCTGCTTTAGAAAAGTCGCAGCCTGGAAAGCCCTATGAACTACAGTTTTATTCTGTAGCACATAAGGTCTACATGAGTGGAATTGACTTAGGGTGACTGTTATTTTGTTTAAATAGTGTGCACACAGTTTCAAAGACAAGCCCACTAATAAACAGCAAACATAAAAAGGAGGTTGTCTCTGGTAAGTAACACTAAAAGAAACTCACAAACGCAAGTTAAAGCTTGTACTATCTTGAAAACATCAAGATAAGCCTCCTCTAACAGAAAGTGGTTTCTACAGAAACAGGCAAAATCAGGACAACTGTCATTTAAAGCAATGAAGTTCACATTCTCACTGACAACTGGGTGCAGTACATGTAACAATTAATTACTTTGTTTTCCATACTTTGTAGATGTTTGGAGAATAGAAACTACCCCAGTAATCATGTAGGTGAGTATAGAAGTAGTCAAATGTACCTTTAAAAAGACACCTTTCTTTTAATTCCTTGTTTCTGGAAGCTGGCCAAGACAGACACAATTTAAATGACAAAAAGGGACGGATGCCTACCTGTTCGCCAGATTCCAGAATGCAATACTTTTTAAAGGACATTCACATATATGATCTCATTCAACCTTGCATACTGTGAGGGAAATATTAGCACCCCCATTTTACAGATGACAGAAAGATTCGATCGAGAGCTAGTGACAAAATGAGTTAGGACTACAATGTTTCTTTCCAAAACAATACAGTGTTGTTCACACCACTTAAAACTTGAGGACGAAGGGGAGATGGTAATGGAAAGTAGATCTAAAACAACTAATATTCAATACTGTATCAAATACTTTAACTGGTACATGTGGGAATAAAAATACAAAATAATCTACAGAAAGGTTTGAATACACTTAAAATGGAAGATGGATGCAGAACAAACCCCAAATCATTGCTGTTGAATTGATTGGACCCTATGTGTTACAAAGTAGTAGGTCTGCTTCATAGGGCTTTCTTGGCTATAATCTTTTTTTTGTCACAAATTTATTTTTAAGCTTGCTAACATTCACTAATTCTTTTTTGTTTTTGTTTGTTTTTTCTTTAAATTTTACTTATTTTGTTGTTGAGATTATACAGCAACACACACACTAGTTCAACAGTTTCATCATGTACAATTTAGTTGACTTTAATTGCATTCTTCAAGTTGTGCAACCATTGTTACTTTCCTTTTCTGAATTGCTCCACCTTCATTCATATAAACTCCCTCTTCCCTAAAGTTCCTTTATCTAATCTTTGAAAGTTACCACTCTCAGTTGGATCCTGTGTTCATAGTTCTCAGACGAGCCAAAAGCTCAGGTGGACTAGACAGACTTACTGAGCAGACCTTCTCCATCAAACACATGGGAGACCAAGTGAAACGTAAGGCTGGTGATCCTGAGCATCAGAGGATAGGACAGAGGGGTGGACTAAGTGCTGATGGGAAGAAGAAGCTGAACATGAGCAGCGAGCGAGAAGAAAGCTGGCAGACTATAGGCTGGCCTGGAACAGCGTGGTCATCTTGAATTTTTTAGTTGGCTAACCTAGCAGCCAGTGCCACCTCCACCGTGCAGCTTTTACTCTGTCTGGGGTCAGGATCTGGGCATAGTGCCTCTGCTTCTGGAAGCACATGAACCCACCCTGAACTACACTATGTAGTAAACAGAAAACTCAAGCACATTTCTAGCCTCGACCACGTCCACCACGAGACAAGTGGTAAGTGCCTGAAACCACAACAACATACAATCATCAATAGACAATTTCATCTTTCACAAGGAAACAAAACAGAGAGCCAAATATAATAACTCAAATATAGCATTAGAGAATATATTACCAGAAATGGTATAAGAACTACTTGATAAAGCATTCCAAAGAATACTATTTAGGCGCCTTCAACAGACTGAGAATGAGAAAACTGCATATGAAATCAAGGAAAACATAGATAAAACTAACTGACAGAATAAATGAAAAAATGAAGCCATATGGAAACAGCAGTTATAAAGCCAAAAGATTAACACTAGGATTTCAGAAATAGATAATACACTGCAAGGGCAAAGAAGCAGAATTGAATCAATGGAAGGCCAAATTTCTGAGCTTGAAGAACAATCTTTCAAAATAATGAAAAGAAATCCCAAGAAAGGTCAAGATTCATATGGGACATTATCAATTAGAATTCTAGAATAGACAAAGACAACAACAACTGTAACCCTAAAACCTAGATCAAGCCTTACTCCTAGCCCTAGCCCAATGCTTACCCCTAATACTAACCCTTGTTGTAACAATAATGTCATCACTTAAACAAAGTCCTAGGCCTAGCCTGGACCTAGCCATAGTCCTAACCTTAACCCTCACGAATTACTCCTACCCACTACCCTACAAAAAAGTAATTTATAAACCAGGTTAGCTACGTAATTTGTGGGAACCAATGCAAAATGATTATGTGGAGCACCTAATTCC